TCCCAGAAGCTGAGGGCCACTCTCTTCCTCTCAAGTGCTTTCTAGGGTAGGTGGTCCAGGGCTTCTTATTCCTTAGTGACCATGTAGATTATGAGTTCACCACTTATTGTGGTAAGAATATAAAGGAGAAAATGAGCTTGACAAACAGGTCCTTGAAGGCAATTCCAGCATTAAAGATGGAAGAATGGGTGTTACTGTTGAAAGTTACAGGAGACAGTCTGATCCTTGGTATAGCTCAGGATGCCTTGAAGGGGCTGGGATGGTTAGAAGCCCTAACTGATATAGGGGCCCTCCAGTGCCAGCTTTACCACCCTCTTTATTATTTAAAATTTTTCACACAATCTATTTTGTTCATATTTCCCCTCCCTCAACTCCTTCCAGGTCCTCCTCTCTTCCCCATCTCCCTACCACCCAACTTCCAACTTCATGCTTGTTTTTTTTTTCTCTCTCTCTCAAAAAGCAAAAAACACTAAAATAAAAACAAAACACACAAAAAAGCCATGGGTGCATTTTGTACTAGCCAACTACTCTTGGGCATAGCGCCTGCTCTGCAGTGTGTTCTCACCTTCTTGGTGTCATCATATTCAGCAGTTTGCTCTAGTGGAAATGTCAGATCCATGACAGACACATTGAGAGTAAGAATGCAGGAGACTATTAGTGACCTTCCTTTTAGCTCTGAGATAACATTGCCCACGGCCTTGACAGATGCAGGGATGATGTTTTGGGTAGCCCCACGGCCATCATTCCAGTTTCCCAGAGGGGCTCTTCACCATCTTCTTGGTGGCGGTGATGGCATGGAATGCAGCCATGAGTCCATCAATTATGCCAGAGTCATCAGGGATGACCTTGGCTGGGTGGGAACTAGGCAACTGACAGCAAAGAAGGCATTGTTCATGACCTTGAGTGGGTTGTCATGGTTCTTGTGGCCCATACCCATCACAAACTTGGGGGCAACATCAGAAGATCCAAGGGCCAGATCCCGCCAGTGGGCCCCAAACTTCTTCATGGTTGTGAAGACTCCAGTAGACTGTACAACTGCCTTATTGGATGTTGGCAGGATTTCACTCCTGGAAGATAGAAATGGCCTTCCCATGACATGTTTCCTTTTCTCAGATTTGACTATGCTTTGGAACTTGCTGTGTGTAGAATAATACTGGAATAGGAAGACTATATAATTGATGTTAATAAAGGCATCACTGATGACAATATCCACTTCATCAGAGCTGACGGCAGCCTTAGTGACCCAGTGCCCAATATGGCCAAATCTGTTCATTATTCGATTCACCGTCGTGTCTCGGGGACGAGGCTAGCACTACACAAGAAGATGTGGCTGGCTCTGGAAAGGAAGGAGCTGAAAGTCCCTCATTTTTATTTTTTTGTTTTGTTTTGATTTTTCAAGCCAGGGTTTCTCTGTGTAGTTTTGGAGTCTGTCCTGGATCTCGCTCTGTAGACCAGGCTGGCCTCGAACTCACAGAGATCCACCTGGCTCTGCCTCCCAA